GTCGCCTGACTCCCAACGAAGACGTCGTAGTTGGCGAGGATCTCCTCCTTCGATAGGAGGCCGTCGCCATTGCCATCTGCCTCCTGCAGGAGGTGCTTCGCCTCCGCGCCGGCGTGGTCGTAGTCCGTGGGGACGATCCACTGGCGGATCTCCCCCCGGTCGAGGTAGCCGTCGCCGTCCTGGTCGCGGTACGTCCGAAACTGCTCCCGCTCGCGGGCCACCCACTCGGGCACGTACTGCGAGTGCTCGTCCTCGGGGGCGTACATGTCGGCGATGTACTCGTGTTCGCTGATGCGGCCGTCGCCGTCGCGGTCGACGTCCTCCAGCGTCTCCTCCACCACCACCGAGTGCATGCGGCCGTCCTCCTCGGGGTGGAGGAAGAGAGTGAACTCGGCGCGGTTCAGGGCGCCATCGCCGTCCACGTCCGCCTGCGCCCAGCGCCGCTCGTCGCGTCTGAGGGAGCGGAGGTGCATACTGAAAAGGTTAGAAGGTATTTTGGAAAGGGAATCCTAGTGTTCTAAAAGGCGGCACTTACTTGAGCATCTCAGTGTAGGTCTTCAGGTCGTCGGGGGCGCGACTTCCGGCGATCTCATCCAGAAAGCCGTAGGTTCGATTTCGAAAGCTGCTCCAGCTGATGGCGGTGACGGCGGGGTCGCGGTCGGTGTTCGCCTCCCACTGCCGGTCGACGTCCTCGAGGAGGTAGCGCCGCTGGGCGGCGGTGATCCACGCCTTCAGCTCCGCCTCGGTGACGTTCCCGTCGGCGTCGGCGTCGATGCGGGCGACGATGGCGCCCAGGCGGCGCTTGCTCTCCTCCGGCGAGAGGGCGTCGAACTCGTCCGCCTCGTCGGCCGAGCCGAGGAAGGCCTCGTGGTCGAAGTCGCGGTTGTGCGCCTCGGCCACGCCGTCGTGGTCGAGGTCCTTGAAGTGGTCCTCATCGGAGAGCTGCTTCTTCAGGATGCGACCGGTGTGAGAGGAGGAGGAGTGGGATGAGGATGAATGAGTCTTTTCCGCGTGAATCGAGTATCCCAGTGCGCCGGTGATGACGGCGGCGGTGGTGATGATCACCAGAATCAGTTCTACTTTGGAGACCATGGTGGGGTGATGGTGAGCTGCCGTTCCTGCTGCTGAGATTGATGATGGTGGTGGTGATCTTCTGGTGAGATCTGAAGATCGGCCGTCCTGGTTCGCTTCTGCTTGTGATGACGCGAAGGAAGAACTGAACAACACACAGAGAGAACTGAGAAAACAGATGTTCTTCTGTTCTTCTTTTTTGCCTCGGACTAGCGACATCTACGGACGGGCTTCAGAAATTCTCGCCTTTTCTTTTCTTTTCCCGCTTTCGCCAAAAAGAAACACATCAAAACCAAATGCTCGGCAATTACTTCCGCATATGTGACTGCGATGCTAATGAATGTTCCATATGAGGATGGACACATCTAATTTATCATCCTTATCATCGCCGAAATCATTCGATCATCAGAACCTGGTGCAAAACACACACATTAGCCCATCGACCGAGCCGTCAAGGAAAAAAAATCACCTGAGATCAAGATCAAGAACAAGAGCAAGAAGAATTCGAACAAACTGCGGTAATTGATTTTCGCTTCCTTTTGCTGCTCTGGCGATCATTATATTGGTGCAAGGTTCTTTATTGCTTTAAAGTTGTTACACAAGTTGTAACTTTTGTTACCAACTTTTAGTTTTAGTTTCTCCCACTCTCAGCAGCCTCGAACTCTAATGATCTCACCTTTTCGACTCTCTTATTTTTCACTGGAATTGGGTGACTGTGCCTTTCTTTTTCTTCTTTTTGTTTGGAATTCTACCACTACCTCCTCCTCCTCCTCACTGCAATGTACTCTGCAGTGTACCCTCGATCACTGTCAATCGATGGATGGTGGCGGCGTTGCCACTGGTTACCAGAAGCGGTAGAGCACAACACAGGGAACAGAGACAGAGAGAGGACAGAGCAGAGACTTCAAGACTTTAGCAAAACAGAAGAGCTGAGCTGAGGCTGAGCAATTTGGGCGGTGGAGAGGAAGAGGAACAGCTCGACAAATTACTCACCCAAATCGCTCCCTCACACACTGGGCGACCAGCCCAAAAACTTTTTGCTGATTTCACCACCACCAAAAGCACCGATTGATCCACTGGGCGCTCACTTCAGAAATCGGCAAATTCTCTCTTTTTAGTTTTGAGTTCTATTTCTATTTCCACAGCGCCGCCATTTTCTTCAGCCAACTCATTCACCCAGCACCAGNGCGCCGCCATTTTCTTCAGCCAACTCATTCACCCAGCACCAGCAAATTCAGCTAACCAAATCGAACCATGAGCTCTCTGATCGGCAAATTCCTCACCATCCTCGGGCTGAAGCGACGCGAGGCGAACATCCTCGTGGTGGGCCTGGACAACAGCGGCAAGAGCACCATCCTCAACTACCTGAAGCGGAAGGAGGACCAGGTGGAGGAGGTGGTGCCCACCGTCGGCTTCACCGTGGAGCGCCTCAACGGCCTGGCCGCCCGCACCGGCGGCAGCAGCGCCAAGGCCGGCCTCTCCCTGACGGCCTTCGACATGTCCGGCCAGGGCCGGTACCGCAACCTCTGGGAGCACTACTACGGCAACGTGGAGGGCATCATCTTCGTCGTCGACTCCACCGACGCCCTCCGCCTGGTGGTCGCCCGCGATGAGCTGGAGATGATGCTGAAGCACCAGCAGCTGCAGATTGAGGCCGAGGATGGCGTGGGAGGAGGAGGTGGTATTCTCGGCAACGGATCATCATCGCTGGATGGAAACGACGCTGAGGACGCTGAGGACGCGGAGGAGGCGGAAGAGGCGAAGAAGGAGGCGGAGAAGGCGGCAAACGGCGGCAAGCCGCTGCCGACGGCCACCTCGAGGCTGGCGTCGAAGAAC